GAGCGCTGGGGGCAGTCTGGGAGCGAGGGGCAGCTAAAATAGAGCGAAAGGTTTAAGGCTCCAGCAGGTCTAAGGCTGCTGAGCCCAGAGAGCACTGAAACCCCCAGCCCCGAGGCTGCTGCCGCATGGTCTAAGGTGTGCTCCTGTGCCTTGCGGAGAAAACCCAGCCCTTGCTCATCGCCGCGGCGATGCTGCTGCTTTGCACCATCTCCCGGATGCTCAGGCCATCACAGGCAGAGGAAATGGGGTTTTTAGCAGCCTATCAATCCAAGTTAATGTGGTTCCCATCCCTCCCCCCTAGATCCTGCTGCTTTGCAAAGCAGTCAAATAAATCCTTCAGTGCAGCAAAGTGTATCTTTGCATCTTATTCGTGAGGGATGTGGGGACCAGTCATAAACTTTATGAACATCATTTTCTTTCAGGAAAGGAAATACAAGATAAAAGAGCTCCAGGTTTCTGCACATAAGGATTTATGGGAGAATGGTTAGAGCTAGGTTTCTTGCAGGGCGCCAAGCTTTTCACTCCCAGCACATGGCTGCCCTACAACTATTTTTGCCTCGTTTGGCTGTAGTTGAGGGAAGAGTAGAAAAGGCAGATTTGAAAATTCATTGAGAACTAATATTGCAGCTGCTTGATGACATGTGAAAACGGCTGTGTGGAAATGCACGGAGGGCCTGATCTCGAGTGACTTAAAGTCAGTGGGAAAGGCTCTTCCTGACTGCAGTGGACTTTGGCCTGGCCCAAAGGCAGCCCCATCTGAGGAAAGAAGGAGCTGTATGTATAAATAACTCAGCAGCTGTAACAAGAAACCCAACTGTGTGAAAGAGGAGAGAGAGAATTGGCTATTTTAATAGCATTTCCCCAGGGGGAATAAAGGCCTGATGGACAGGAGGCCACGGAGGCAGGAGTCCTCGGCTGATCTGCAGCGCAGGGACGGCACCGCGGTAAGTTTTCACCATGTTGCACCAGCCGTGGGGGTCTGCGCCTGCTTTGAGGGACTGGCCCCCCAGGAGGGGAGGCTGAGCTGGAACCAGGAGGGTACACTCTATGCAAAGCCTTGGATGTGTTTTGAGGGATGAGGCCAAAACGTTGAAAGGAAATGTGGCAACTGGATTTTGAAAAACACAGTTGTGCATTTCCATCGCTGATGTGCAGGCCGTGTTCGCATTCAGCGCAGCCTGCAGCGGATCCCCAGCTGACTTGTGTGAGCTGACTGTCTGGCTTTGAATCTAGGCCAGCTCTGATATCAAGAGCTATGGCCATACAAATTAACAGATCTCTTCAAATTAACAGATACGTTATTTTCTTGCCTTTTAATTAAAGCAAAAAAATAGCAGCAACCTGCAGTGTTTGAAATCAGACTTTGCGGCATGATGCTTTGAGAAGCTTCTGAGAGCAGGGTCCCTGAGCAATGAAGGTACTGACCATGACGGATAAAACTAAGAAGAACATGCTCCCTTGCTGACAGAGCACTTGTTTTAAAAGTGATATCACTTTTTAATGTTCCAAACTATTTCTGTTAACAGGAGTCAATGAACATAACTGTTTATGAGAAGTAGTTTTCTCCTTGGGTGGGTCTGTCTGTCTCCCTGTTTTGCCCCCAGCCTGCTTGACTCAGAGCTGTAAGAGCTTCTGCCTTGGACAGGATGGCGTGGACATCAATTAAAGATTGGAAAATGACGTCTACTTACTTTCTTTTGGCCGTGGTTAGAGTTGGGAGTAAATAAGCTGTTTAGCGCAAGCCAGTGTCTTTTGACGTTTGGCCAGCCATAAATGAGATCCGTGTGCGGAGTAACGGTACTCGGCAATCAGCGCTCTCGGCTGCCGAAACCACTGGCTTGTGCTCCCCGGGCACGACTGTGCAACGCTGATTGCGAAAGCCCATGGCTAGACTTGGTGTGGATCAGCCTAGCATTGTGACCATTTGAGATGCAAATATTTCTCAGACCAGGACAAGAAGCTGAGATTTGTTAGAAGGAAAGCTGATGTATTCTGACAATAAGCAGGGAGAAGAGTCAGGGAAATGGTTGTTTGCAGATGTTTTAAAGTATCTTAGGTGTTTTTTCTGGAGTGGGGAGCTCTCTATAAAGAGAGAGAAGAAAGCATTTTCCTTCCCCCCTAATTTCTGACTCATTTTCATCTGCAGCGCCTGGGTTGTGTTTTTTATTATTAATTTTTGCTAGGGGAAAAATATTCAAGGATTTTCTTTGTTTTGTTTTTGAGACAAAGGGGTTTTGAGGATACAGATTTATCTGTAATTCTGTGTTTTTTTAGTGACGTAAATATCTTTTGGCATTCATGATAACTTGAGCCAGGGAGGTGATTTATTTCAAGAGTGTCTTGTTTCAGAGCAGCTCAGCCCAGCTCAGTAAGTGTTTGCAGTAACATGTGTCTGCTCAGAATGAACAAGATGCTTCAGAACAAAAAGTAAATGAAAAAAAAAAAAAGCTCCTTTCTCCTTAGTGCAAATCTTGCTTGGAGTTTTGCTTAAGAGTAAACAATAAGAGCCTTATCAAATTGTGTTTTTTTTTCCCTGACTCTCTTTGCAATGCCAAGGTTGCCAGAATTGTAAGTGTGTTATGTCAGCTGTGTTTCAGCCTTGGAATGTCTCTAAAGCAATAAATACTGGATTGAAGTCATGTTGTGCTCTCTGCTCCAAAGAGGTGTTATGACAAATCTGCTCGCTTTTTTCTTTTTTCTTTTCTCCTTTTTAAGGAGGGGAGAGAAAAAACCCTACAGCTGTGAAGGGAGAAATCCTCTTTAAAAGTTGCTGCAACTTAACAAAATGCTAAATGCTTTTATTAACTTCTAGAAAGGCTCTAAAAAGCTGCATTCTTCCTAGGCTGAAAACCACTCATCTAAGTGGCCTGGTATTGTTCCTCCAGCGCTGGTACAGGCTGATAATTGTAGAGTAGAAATTCCTTTCTGAAGTGCGCAGTGACGAAGGAATAAAAAAAGTGGGGGGGTGAAAAAAAACCTTGGGGGATGTTAAAGGAGCTGCTATGTGTATTTTGGAGGTAGGAGTGTTTCTGCTTTCCCCTTCCTCTCTGGGGAGGTGCGTCTGTTCCTTCAGTTCATTTCATCTAACTCCTCCATGCAAGAAACAAAACGGGCCCCTGAGTTAAGTGCTTGCTTGCTCAGTGATTTAATTACACCGGGAGGAATGTGAAGGAGAAATTCAAGCATCAGAGCTTTGACTCTTTGTTTGAGATTGGGGAATACGCTAGATTTCACTCTTTGAAGGTCCCAGGTAGGGCAATAATGTAAATGCTAACATTAGAAGAAAGGCTGTGCCTGCCTGCCTTACAGTGGACCCCAAAAAGCGACCCTGTGGCCAGTGTCCCAGGATGTGAAAACTCCAGGTTTAGTTCCCTGCTTTCCCAGAGACTTTTAGTGTGACCAGGGAAGGTGCTGTGTTCCTTCTGCTATTCCATGCCTCTTCTTTAAAGAGGGAATGGTGGTGCAGCCCAGGTCCCAGGGAGGCTTTGGGGCTGCAGAGGCAGTGGGAATACCAGCCCTGCTCACAGTGGGCCACACAGGTGATGCAGGCTTTGATACAACAAAAAGGATCTTCTAAAGACCTTATTATCTACTGAACTGGTTTTCTTATAGCAAACACTACCGAAGCAAATTTGCCCTAAGCTATGGTAACGTGGCAGGAACAAGGAGAAAGTCACCTGTGTTAACAGGGTCAGGCAAGACCAGGGCTCTGCACACTCCCTTTTCATGGCTGTAGGAACATGGACCAACCCTCAAAAGAAGGATGAATTTTTTCCCATCACTTATACTTTGGGATCTGGATTATCTTCCTCTGATTTTACTGCCTTGATGGTATGAAACAAGGCTGCTTTTGCAATGCACATTTTAGCTCAGCTGCCTTTTCATCTTCCTCCCTGGCTACAGGAACCTCTGCCCAATGTCCACCAGTGCAAGTGCCATCTATGAGCTTCATGCAGAGAGTGAAGTGAAAAGGGGTTTTTGCAGGGTGCTTGCAAGAGAAACCAGGGTGCTTCTGCTGAGGCAGTACAGCACAGATGTGGAGTGTGTGTGTGTGTTTTTGCTACCTGATCATTTTAGAGCCAGATCTTGTTCCTGTCAAAATCAAGGATGAATTTTTCTCTGGGGCTAGAATCGGGAAACAAATCTGTTAGCTGAATGCTCCCTTGTGCTTTAGCAGAGAACACGGCTCGCCTTGTTGCACAGCATTTGGAGAGGTCAGGTGGAGTTAGTGTTTGGTTTGCAGCCTGGGTGGGAGCTGTGTCGGTGCTGTTTTGACATGCCCTCATGCCATGTACGTTAGCCTGATGGAGGAAATGCTCTTCCTAATGCCCTGGTGTTAACTGACAGGGAATGTCTCAATCTGAGGTTTCTTTAGAAGATGTAGAAAATGTTGCTAATGCCATCAGCAGTGCTAAGAGGCAGGGAACTGCCCAAGGGCATGAACTTGCAGAGGTCTTATTAATAAATCTCCTTCACAAGGAATGTCCTGGCTTGAGGAAAGACTAAGTACATCATTAGCAATCTCTCGTGGGGCAAACTGGGATTGTTTGACAGCAAGGGGTGTCCTTCTCATGAGGAGAAAGGTGTATCGGATTAGTAACCCAGCCTTACTGGCCCAAGGACTGTCCTGATACAACTGGTTTGAAAAGGCAGACGCATGAACTTGATAGCTCTTCTCCTTTGCCCTCCTCTGTTTCTTTTGCCTCCACCAAGTGTAAGTGGGGGTCTCTTCTGGAAACTGCATTTCAAGCTGTGGCTCCCTGCCAGTACCTGTGCATGCAAAGATCTCGCCCTATATGGGTGCACTTGGCACTTGCCTTCGATGTATAACGCTCCCTGCAGGTGTCGGTTGCTGGAGGGATGGCGTTGAGAGCACCTCAGGCAGGGCTGTATTCTCACCCCTGTTGGCATCCCAGCACAGGAAGGTGGCTTTGCAGTGACTTGTGCCACCTCTCTCACCCTCCTGAATATCCTTTGTTTTGCAGAGAGGGCATCAAGCTGAGAAGCCAGAAGGCATCTTGGACTGATATGGTCAAGATCCAGACTTGGCATTCACTGCCCCAGTGCAGAACGCTCTGAAACCCTCTTCTGATCCCCCCTCGCTGTTATTAAACGAGAGGGAGACATTCATATTTATCTGAGCACGAAGCAGACCAAGCACCATGGTGGGGAAGAGCCCCCTGGACCCTAGTGACACCAGGAAAGCGGTTCTCTTGGAGCCTTTCGTCCACCAAGTTGGGGGCCACATGAGCATGATGAAGTACGACGAGCACACGGTCTGCAAACCCCTCGTCTCCCAGGAGCAATGGTTCTACGAATCGCTGCCCCTGGCCATGAGGCAGTTCACACCTCAGTACAAAGGTAAGACCCGGGCAGATGGTTGATGGGAGAAGCGAGGAAACTTGTTCAGGAGCACTAAGACCAGTGGCGAAGCCGAGAGCCAGCTTCTTGCTTCCAGCTGTGAAGTGGTGTTCCTTGAAACGTTATTTTGGAAAGGTGCTAACAGCTAGTAATGTTTTCATTAGAATTAGGCAGGCTGCTGCTGAGCTTGGGATAAAGGCGGGGGTGATGAAGTGGCAGCACAGAGGAGATACTGGCCGGCTAGTGCAGTCCAAGCTGTGAAGTCCCTAGTTCCTCTTTCACTCGTGTAGATCGTGTTTTGCTGAGCAAGGGCATTTCCAGGACATCTCGTATGCTGTGCATACAAGCAGGTCTGTGAGAAGGGAATGGTTTCCTGTGTCTCCATGGTGGTGCAGCTGGGTGGACTCTCTCATGTCTAATAAGGGAGCAGCACCAGGAGTTCTTCCCCTATGTCCACCCACCTGCCGACATGGGACTCGTGGGACTCAGTAACATGGAGGCCTCCCATTATGTCAAATGGGGCTGAAAAGGGACAGACACAGAAAGACGGAGGCTGGGAACGTGAACTGGCGTGAAGCAGAGCAGTGGCCGTCTGTAACTCCCTGCCCTGAACCACTTTGTCAGCTGAATCTCTTGGCTTAGCTATTAAAAAGCAGCACTTGGTATCCATGGGTGTCTTGGCATTTTTTTTTTTTTTTAAGAAGTCCTCCCTCCCTTCCTTTATTTCCCCACTATTTTTGCTTTTACTGCCAGACTTGTGCTGTTCATAAAGCTCCTGACCCTGGATTTTTGTGGGAGGCAAGAAGCTCAGCTGTCACTTAAAAACTAAAATATCTTTTGGTCCTTCAGCATTACAAAGAAGAGCTCAGAATGTCAGCTGAGGTTTTGATGCACTTCCAATTCAATCTCTCCCTTTCCCAGAAAGTCAGAGGCCTTTTTAGATTTATGGGACAATATTAAAAAGATGCTTAAGAAAAAAAAACAAGCCTTCCTCTAAGCAATTTTCTTTAGCTCATCAACAAGCAGGGCCCAGGGTTCAGCGCTGGAGACCTGAGCCCTACTTTGTCTCTTTAATAAAGATGTTAAGCAGTCACAAACTATCACTTCAGGGGTGGCCTGGTTATAAATACCTTTTTGTCTCCTTTTTCCTTTCTATTGGAAGTCCCAGTGAGTTTTGCAATGAGGGGTAATTAAATAAGAGTTCTCCAATTTGTCATCAGGCACACAATTTTTTTCTACTTGTAACTGACCCAGCCCAAACGCCACACAAATTAAAAAGAGGTGGAATGTTTTCCCACGAGGGGCTGAGCGTCAGGGGAAAATTGCTGAGGTCTTTATCACCCGTTCACACATGTTGATGTTCCTCATCTCTATTCTTAGTCTGTGGTGGGGCTCAGGGACCATTATGAAATGATGACATTATGTGCAATGTTGATCAAATATCATAATTCAAACCTAACACCGAGCTGGCTGCTTAAAAAATGTCTGCCGCTCACTTAACCATTTCAGGCATGTTGGTGACCTTGAGACTGGCTATCCTCCCCATGATCTTCTTCCAAAACTCTGCCTGCTTAGTTCAGAGCTTGCAGTGGGATTATGGACTTATTTTCAGGCCCAGTTCTGCACCAGCTCTATTGCACATGGTAGTAAATAAATGCACTTGTAAATTTAAAAATACATCCATGAGGGAAGAGCTACATAGCAAAACGTTCCTGAGACTCACCAGGATGCCACTAGCATGGTGATAGCATCTGTAAATATCCACTGTCTGCCTCGCCTGCTTCAGACAGAATAGGACTACATTTTTGGTGCAAATGAAAGGCCAGCAAAGACAAATACCTATATACACCTTTGATCCCAGAGAGAAGTTTTCTTGTTGTAATAAAAGAGAAGGTCAGTAGCCATCACCATGCTAAAGCTACGTGTTATATATTTGTTTTGCACACGTAGGTCACTTACAGGACATATGCAAAACCACTCCATCCCTTAATGAAGTACAACAGGAAGCAAAAGAACTTTTTAAGGCTGAGAGGTAAGCTTGCACAGGCAGAATTTTCAGTTGGAAGGAGGTACGATGATCATGTTTCCTTGCAATTTAATTGCTCATTTTTTGCCTTTGAAAATCTCCCCATTAATTTTCATATTAATGTAAGATATTTAAGACCTCTTAGTTTCATGCTATATATAACGTTTTTAGGGCCAGATTGTCAGCACTATGCAAATCAGCACAGCTCCATTGACTTGCAGATATGTAATTGGGACAGTTTTTAAGGTTACAGGCGCTGAGGCATAGCGCTAGATTTGGAAGTGAGCACTCTGTTTGCCTCTCAGTGACTTTTTAAAAATAAAAAGGCTTTGATTTAGGCAAAAGATATGTTGAGGTTTTTCATGCCTACCTCCCCTGAAAATTCAAAGCAGGCATCTGAGTTGATAGGATTTCTGCTTGCTCTTAGTTATCTGTAATATGGATTTTTACAAATGGGAAGCAACTTAAGATCATGCGGTTGATGTAGGAGCCAGAAGAAAATAGATCTCCCTTTGCTCGTGATGACCATGAGCAAAAAGTGGAAACAGCTAAAAGAGCCTCCTACTTAAGGGTTCCCCTCCCACAACTCCCTCAGCAGAGCAGCCGCCTGTGTTCCTCACTCATTTCAGTGTGAAATTAGCTGTTTTGGCTGAGCCTGCCTCTACAAAGCGTTCATTCTAACACAGATTTTTACACTGAAATGGAACAGAAACGCTTGTGCAGCTTGTCCTGGGGTCCCACCTGCAAAGAGGTACCTGAGCAGAGGGATCATACAGAGGGCAGGAAGGCAGCACCTAATGCCCAAACACAGCTGGATCCACAGGGTTATGAGATGCAGGCCTGGGGAACTGCCAGGCACCCCACATCTAACGGAAGTGGAAGGGGGCTGCGGACACACAGGACTTCTGAAATTCAGGCTGTAAAAACTTCTCTTAGTCAGCAGCTAGAACTCTGCGCATACATAGTGAGGGCAAATCCTTTGTGTCTGTGTTTACTTATTGTAATCTCACTTTAAACGGCGAGAAGGGAGTTTGCATATTTATTTGCTCTGGCAAATTTGCTTGGGAGAAGAGCTCCCTTCTTTGTAAACTGTAGAAATGCATCTCCTTGCAGTGACTAACAGACCAAGTGAGGATGCCCTAGCGCTTGTGGGGTAAAACCCAGCTCTGTGTATTGCTAACATCTGAGGCTCTTTCTGGTGACGAGTTTTGTTGGTCCAACAGCCCTGACCATCCTCTTTTGGCTCTGTCCTACGGCAGCTAGACTTGAAAGCAGCAGGGTACTGCTGCGGACAACTCGTGCAGCTGGCATCCTATCTGAGCCTGAAAGGGTGATGCTCTAAAAATGCCTGTCCTGCTTTGAGAGGCTCAGAAAGCCCTGACAGAGGGCTGCTCACTGCAAGAACAGTGCTGCCCTGAGCAAAGGACTGCTGTTATCAACCTTTTCCAGAAAGGTCAGAGCTGTCTCCTGTGGGAGCCATGGCCATTTCTGCTCTGTCATTTGACACGCAGAGGCAGCAGTCCTGCTGCCAGAGCTGGGCTGAGACTGGGGTAAATACATGGCAGGCTTAATGGCATTTGAGCCCTGTGATTCCCATAAAGTCAGGGAAAATTGCAATGCTAATACAGTAAATATATAGTGGAAAATACTAATCACCTCTCTCAGCTTTCAGGAATGGGTATCGTGTCCCTCCTCGTGTATGAACACTGGACACATAAAGGTCCATTCCCTCCTATTGGCCCAGGGTGACTGCCGTTCCGGTGCTGGTCCTTGGCACTTGGGGAAGGACACGTCCATGACAATGTGCAGACACCATGTATAGAGGCAGCACTGCCAGCCCATACACCTGCTTTTGGAGGTTAGACCTGCTCTGGTTTTGCTGGGCTGTTGGTGGTCAGTGAGTTCTCTGGGTGTGATTGTGTCAGCAAAACAAACCAGAGAGAGAGAGGAGGAAAAAAAACAAAACAAAACAAAACAAAAAAAAAGGCAAGCACACACTTTGGGTCTTGGAAAGCATAAGGCACAAGCTGGCCTCTCCTTCAGTCCAGCTACAGTAGGTTGCCCAATTGCCTTCCTTTCAAAGATCATCTGATATAATATTCCAGCAAAAAACTGGCTGAGTAGTCAGGTTTTCTCAGTATTTTCAGTGTAATTTCCCCTTTGTCCCAACATTAAAACTCCAAGTCCCTGTTTGCCATCTCTAGCGACCCTAGAGAGACATTACTTGGCATATGCACAGAGCTTTCCATCTTCAGGACTAGCTGCTGCAATAGGGGCAAACAGGCAAAGTACTGACTGATACTCAGGAGATCTGGCTTTTATTTCCACCTCTGCCACTAGTCTGTGGGTAAGTCATGTCTTTCTGTGTCTCAGTCTTCCTGTCTCTAAAATGAAGATCCTGATAAGGCCCTCCTTTGCAAAATGCTGTGAGCTCTGTGTGTGTGGAAACAGCTTGGTTTTATCGCCTGGGAAGTGCCATCATGTTATCTTCATCCTATGGATGGGGAAGGTGAACTTGCCAGGTTAAACTCCTGCAATTTGAGGCCACTCAGGGCTGCTGAGCCCTCACAGCTCCTCCTGCCTTTAGCAGGAGACTTCACTGAGCTTAACTGCTTTGCAAAGGAGGCCTCAGGGTGGTCTCCTGGAGACAGAAGCATCTAAAAATAGAGGCCAACGCTCATGTAAGGTGCAGCTCCTCAAAGGCATTTGTGAGCCTCACGCTCTTTGGTCAAAATGTCTTGCTGAGGGTCACACGATGAGTCAGAGAAGAGCTGGGACTAGAGCCCGGTCTCCAGGGTTAGCAACTGAACCACCACCATTGCTGCAACGGTGGAAAGTGAGACCTAGTGCTTGAAACCTGTGACATGGATGACACCATGCAGAACTGCCAGTTCTGGATGGCCACAGAAAATTGTTAAAATAAGGCACTTCCCTTCCTCTTCCCTTGCCACCTCCTCTTGGGAGTGTGCTACAGCTTCCCTGCTGCTGTGGTGCCACTGTGCTCTCTCTGATTAAAGCGTTGACATGTCAGTTGTCTTTGGAAAAGTCCTTCCTTGTCCCCCAACTCTCTCTTTGCTTCCTGCCAATAGAAGGTATTAAAAGGGAGACCTGACTCCCATTACCAGGAGTCAGGAGCTCCTGATCCTACGCTGGGGGGGGAGAGGGGGGGGTCTCTGCAGGGTCAACTGTTGCGTAGCAGAGCCTAGATGTCCAGACAGGAACGGAGACCGAAGGAACGTGATGCTCAGATGAGGCAGCTTTCAAGTGGAGACCACAAAAGGGAGTGAGGCAGCCATATCTGGAGAAGAAGAGGGAATTTTAGAAAATTTGTGGCTGTTTTTCAGGGTCTCAGACTAACGGTGTTTATTGGGCCTAGAATCAGACTGGGATCATAGCGAGAGGCCACTGAAATACAAGGAGGCAGCTGTCCTGCTAAGTGCCAACCCTTTCAGGAGCACCTTGAGCTGGTGCAGACGGTGGCCCAAGCCTGTATGATAACACACAGGTTAATCTGCTGCCCAGGAACTGAGTCTAGTTTGGTCTTCCCTCTTTTCTGCAGGTATCATTTCTGTGCACCTCAAAAAGGACAGCCTTGGCAACCTGACCCTGATCGCCAGCCCCAGCCTGCAGACGGAGAACTGTAGCCTGCTGGATAACACGATCAGCGAGTCGTCAGTAACGATATGGCACAAGTGCAAGTGGGCCGCCAGCAGCAGCAACAGCAGTGAGCATGCGCTCGTCAAGTGGAGTCACACACAGCTCTCCAAGACCCTTAAAGACAGGTGAGGGCCTGGCGTGGGCATAATGCTGCAAACGTCCTCCCGCTTCAGCAGTGGGACCCCCCCCCGCTGATTTGAGCAGGGTCTAACCAGGCCGGTTCCATGGCATGATTCCTGGTTTAAGGTGAGGTGAACAGAAGCAAAGTCCAGCTGGTTGGCTTCATGGCTCACCTCTCCCTCTGCCTGTGGATGGAGCAGGGCAGATCTGGCTATTGTTGAGATGACGTCACTTAGATTTATGCCCCGAACACTGCTCTCCATCTGTTCCCTTTGGGTGCAGCATGCTCCAAGAGGAGTGACAAGGAGGGGAGGCCATCAGCCCCTGTGAGAACAGCCACCAAACATGCTCAGCACGTAATGCCCTTCCAGTGGGAACTGGCCAGAAGTAGCAGACATACAGTAACTGCACACTTGAGGGTGGTTCGATCCCGTCCTTGTCCCGGGGAGAGCTGTCTGAGAGGCATTATGGTGCTCGCAGGCATACTCTGACCTTTGGACTTGCGGAGGCTTTCAACAAGACATCTTTCATCTCAAATTGTTTTGGAAAAGACCTAGGTCAGCTGTGACTGAAGGGTACAATATTGCTACTGTGAAACTGCTGCCCTCAGTGAGAACAGAATTATGGCTTTCAGATGAGCGAGACCAACAAATGACCCTACGAGGAGAACAAATATCCTCTTTGCTCCCTCCTTCCCTTCCTCGAGGCCAGCCCCTCTAAAATGGGAAACATTCCCATTGTTGGACAATTTGCCTGTGTTGTGCCTGTTAGATAAATAGAGATTCCTGGTCATTGGTACTATGAATGGCGCTTTTCAGGGAAGCCAAGCACACTTTGAAATTATAACGAAAGAAAGTATTGGCACCCAGCAATAGCTCACTTTCTGAAAATTACTTTTAGGAGTAACAAAGGATCTCTGCAGGTTGGACATGATGAATATGTTTCCCTTGAGAGTCCCCGAAAATTTACCTTATCAAGTTTGAGGCTCTACAAAAGAGGGGGGAGGGAATATTCTCTTCTGGAGCTTATAAACCAAACGTGTTCTTTTGTGTGTTTTGTCTAGCTGCCCAGGGAAAATGCTATTGAGGACAGACCTTCAATACTGTACAGATTCACTCTTGGAAGATGCAAATGGAAATCAGCCTGAAAGAAACAACTACAACCCCTGGGGACTGCACTGTCACAGGCAGCACCTGAACCGCATGTCCTCCAAATATAACGAGAACAAACTTCATCGTATCCTTTTTCTCTCTCCACTTCCCCCCAGCATAGTCTTGACCGCAAATAACCAGTAAAAATGAATATATGTTTTATTGCAGGGGTATGCATCCCTCATCTGCCCAGTCCCTGGGCAAATACAGAATATAATTCCCCTGTATCTTATCCCACTATTTTAAAAAAACAAAACAAACACTCCACACCAAACAAGGATCCTCTTGGCATGCATGTAAAAACACAACCGTATAGGAATTAGCAGCTGCCTTGCCTTTTATTTTTCTATTACACTTCATTACCCACCAGTCATGTGAATAATACAGTTTAACAACTTCTCCCACACCCACTGGAGTGAATTTAGAACTAAGGCAAGGTGTTGGATTGACAGCCCAGGGCTATCGTGTCACTAGAGAATGGAGCTGTTGGTACTTTAATTGGTAGGACTGTACTACAGTAAATTAACTGAAATTGGCAGCAAGGGGCCTATAGCAATGACATGTTGGTAAAATTGGCTCAGAAAGTCTCGTTACAGTTGTGAGCTATTATGAAGAACGTCAGCAGTTGCTGTGATTTAAGACCTCTTTCAATTAGAATTTAAAAATATTGGGTTTCCCTTAACTCACGTTTAGAGTTTCTCTTGCTTGAAAATGTGGTATCAAAGTACAACTATCCCTGCATTCTGGACCTAAAGATGGGAACCCGGCAGCACGGAGATGATGCCTCAGAGGAGAAGAAAGCACGTCACATCAAGAAGTGCGAACAAAGCACCTCTGGGTCTCTGGGTGTTCGCATCTGTGGAATGCAGGTAAGGTGGAGCCTCAGTCCTTTTGGTCTATGTTTGACACACAACTTGAAACCACGTTGGAAATCTAAAGGGACCGTTTCCTTCACTGTTGTTAATTAAGATAGTTTCGTTCCTGTTTCCCACTGAGCTTCTGGCCATTTCACTGTGTATCCTGTCCTCAACCAGAAGTGCATGCTTAGGGGTATAAGAATATGGCATTTACAGGATAATCCTTCCCTCATATCCTCTGTCTTCTGGAGATGTGGCTGCTTTTGTAAGTGGTGCCTGCATAAGGTCAGCCATGTTCAATAGCCACCAATATAAACAGCTGAAACCAATTTACAGCAGCTGAGCATCTGCTGGTACATGAAACCAGATTCTGGTCTCATGCTCAGCTCTAGCCTGCTGCACAAGAAGAAAAGCAAAAACAAAAAGAAAAAAAAGGATCATTTGCCATACTCATTCCTTCACGGAGCTATCTTATCAGATAAGTGCAAGCATGAGGGATTTATTTTGTGCTGAGTGCTAAGGCTCCTCTTGATCAAAATCACTCCCCTTCCTCCTAGAAACTGAAACCATATATTTGTTCCATTTATACTTCCCAAGCAGGTTTTAAAATGTTGTCCTCCTTTGCCTGAAGGATAATTATGACAATGATGATTACAAAGCACATACATAGCAGTATAAACATTTAGTGTCAAAAACTCTGCTCCTTTCTGGTCTCCGCTATCCTTCGATTGAGCAGATTTTCCCTTAAATTACAGCTGGCACGTGAGCCAATTCTGAATCCATTCCCCCATTCTTACCAGTGTTACCAGATCCCCACAAATATATCTGTCCACATATTCTTGTCATTCGGTGTTTAAGAAAGCAAGATGATTGCTGCCCGTGGGTTGCATACTGAGAAGGTGCAATAACAGGGGTATTCCTGTACTACTGCAAACTCCTAACAGAGACAGAGGGAAAATGCTCTAAATCACTAGGGACATGCCTATGACTTATAGCTGTTTGGGTTTCATGAAGGAGTAATTTATAACAGTACAGGAAGAATCCGCACCAGTAGTTTAAATAGAATAGTTTAAATCTGCAGATTCAGTCAGAAGCCTGCAGTACATTGCCAGCATTGCTAGACTGCAGAGGATCTGTGTGTCCTATTTCTCAGCTTGGGTCTGAAGTTTTTAGATTAAGACACAGTCTAGAACACTGGAAAACTGAACAATAAGACATGCACTGAATCTGGATTGTTGTTCTCTTTCCTCAAGGTTTATCAAGCTGACACTGGCCAGTTTCTCTGCAAAGATAAATATTATGGAAGAAAACTCACACCTGAGGGATTCAGGCAAACCTTGCGCCAGTTCCTTTGCAACGGTAACCACCTCAGAATGGAGCTCTTGGAGCCCGTCATCTTGCAGCTAAAAGCTCTGCTTTCAGTCATTAGGAAGCAAAGTTCTTATAGGTTCTATTCCAGCTCACTTCTTATCATCTATGATGGACTGGAGAACAAGGAGAACACGGCACCGCTGGATACTCACCTTCAGGGGCACTTCCAAAGAACAAACTGCACCACGTCGAACAGCACTGGTCACTCCAAAGTCGATGTCCGCATGATAGACTTTGCCCACACCACTTTTAAAGGCTCAAAATGCAATCACACCACTTACGACGGGCCAGATCATGGCTATATTTTTGGCCTAGAGAATCTCATCAAAATCCTTCAGAATATCTCAGAAGGAAAATGACAAATTCTGTGAAATAGCCTGGATCTACTAGTCATATCCTTGACAAGTACTGCACTGGGTCAGTTGTATGGGACCCTCACTCACAGTGGCTAAACGTCACGTGCACGGTTTGGAATGAGAGCATGGACAGCTTGCTAGGAAAGTGCAAAAATGCTACGTGCCATTACTGAACTCAAGCATAAAAAGCAAAGAGCTGAAAGAATCTGTTCTTGTCTGCAATCAATCAGAAGATTTATTTTCCTTTCTTGTTTTACTGCTATCCTTGATTTATTTGTGAGCCAGAAGAAAGCATTACTTGAAAGAGTCTTAATGATAAAATAGGACCTGCTCACCTCCACCACACTCACAAAGCCATGCAGGCTAAGAAGATATTGTGCATTTGAGTGAGACTATTTAAATGAGCTGGCAGGTCTTAACAGATTGCAGCATTACTTTCAACTCCTGCTCAGTGCTATGGGCTGAGCACGCTCAAAGACGCAAGCAGAAGAATAATACACCCCCTGACATTCACGGTACAGATGCCCAGCGCTGCAAGAGCGTAGGGCGTTCTCTGTACAGTGTGGGTATACGGTACTTTGTTCAAACACAAACGTATTAGATCCTGCAGAGGCCCCGGCTCTATAGAACTTAGGTGTAAAAGCAGCTGGACCTCAGACCAAGAACTGTACATTGCCAAGGTTTAATATCCCTGTGGGACATAACAGGGCATATTTCGGTAATTTTCTAAGCAAGGGCTCCATAGGAGCTGGAGCTATGAGAATGTGATGATTCTGCCAGATACCAGTCATGAAAAAATTCACATCACGGTATTTTTGCTTCAAAAAGGCATGTGAGATTGAGTCAGCAACTAGACACTAAAGGTCACCTAGAAATTCTTTGGTAAAAATATTGTATGTGTTTGGAGGAGACAATAACAACAACAAACTTGATACAACAATGTTTACAGCTTTTGTGGACAGATTTTAATTATGGAACAACAATATAATTCCTTCCTGCATGGTGTGGGAAACTTGAAAGAGAAATCTTTACACTGGAATAGCGCTACAGAACCCCCCAGTTACTGGGGAGCTGGAGCATGAATAAAATTGTCTAAGTAACCCTCACTTGTTGTCCATCTCTTCTTTTCCACTTCCAGAGCATCCTTAAGTTATCTTTTGTTTAGAGCTGTGTTTTGAAAACAGTCATTATTTCCACAGGTTTAAATACCAGATCTCAAGAGAGATCCTTTCACTTGTATTTTACTGCATGCAGCTGGTGAATTGCTACAATTTATAGCTGGAAATTTTAAGTCATCTGGCCCAGTTGCATATTTTACTTGGCCTAAACTGCATCTGGGAAGAGCTCATTATTTACTGGAAGTTATTCATAGCGTTGCATATTTCTTGCCTCCAAACTCAGATGATTACACTCTACTTCAGTTGTGAAAGGATCAAGCCATCAATTGCCTTGGCTCACTTGTGTGCAGCATACTCCGGTGATCAATGCTAATCTAAGCTAATACAGCTTAGATTACTAACTACTGCTATAGCTTATACTGATATAGTTTATAGTTTAGTACTTATCTCTGCATGTGCAGCATTAGCACCAGTGCTGAGCCTCTTGCTGGATGCACACTGCAGGCTAGCAAGTCTCAAAGCAGAAAAGGGTGAAGAAGGGACTGAGAATGAGGCCAGCAGCAGAGCACGTGGCAGACGCCAAGCAGCAGTGGAAGACATCAGCAGCCCTTGGCTGGGTGCCTTACCTGCCATTTCTCCCACAAAAAAAAAATGCCACCCTGGCGCTTGCATAACAACAGGAGGCATCCTGCTCCCTCCTTTTTTACCCCTTATAAAGTATTTATGCAATCTTTTGTCTGCAGAGAGGAGGGGCACTGAGCCAGAGTGCAACCTTAGGTACTCCACGTGGAAA